TACATGAACTAATATTAAATTCTAAATATTATCTTAAGGGTTATTATAAATTATTGCAGGTGTTTTTAATATTATTTAATCATTATATTTTCATTCTGTAACAACGTCAAATGAATAGCAGTTCAAATGCGCGGGAATCTGAAAATGCAATGCGTGATGTATTAAGATCGGCTCTACATGTATTAGTAATGGATGCCTTCGCAAATTTAGGTACATTAGCATTTCTCAAGGCCTATCGTGGTGAAAATATCCAAGTGATTGATAATAAATTTCAGTCTCTTATAGGTAAGACTATTGAATATCTTTCCGATCTAAATAGTGGAGCTAAAGCTATGCGAATAGGGTTTGAGTATTTGAAGCAAGGTAAACGCGTGGCATTTGTTATAACAAGTCCTAATATGGCTTGAGCATTAGTAGAAAGGCTTCTAAATTATCTTTTAAAGCTCGTGCTTATTACGGAGATATGGATGGAAAACAACGAAAAAATGACTTCTTAGATATTAATACAGCTTGAAGTGAACTTGATTGTGTAGCTTATACAAATACGATAGAAGTAGGTATTTCTTTCGAGAAATTTAATCACTTTGACATAGTTATAGGCATTACAAATATTGAAACTCCTGTTAATGTCGAAGCATTTATCCAGATGATATTCCGAATTCGTGATTGTGAAAAGTGTATATTTTCCCTCTTTTATCAAAAAAATTCCAATGAACTCTCTCGTACACCAGGCCATGAAAATATTTGTGCAGAACTTGCAATAGCTTGACCCAATGAGTTGCCTACAGCAATCAAAGGACATCGTGAATATACCTGCCACCCAAATTCAAAATCCAAATGCCGAAATCCCAAATGCCAAAATCCCAAATCCCAAATTCCAAATTATGATTAGTATTTTTTGCCGAAATCCCAAATCCCAAATTCCAAATACTAGTAATTTGGGATTTGGGCAACACGTATAATCGTAAATGGGATAAAGATAACATTTCCTATAAACTCGATTAATCTCCCGCTGTAACATCATTTATTGAAGTTGAGCATCAGAAACGTCTTTCAGCCAGAAATTTTATTGAGATTTCATGTAGCCTTATCACTAGTACAGGAGCAAGTCTCAAATTAATAAAAATGGATGAGAGTCGAGGAGTTATAGGGATTCGTAAAAAGGTTTGTAATGAAATTAGGGCCGAAGTATCAGTTATCAAGCATACAGATTTTGAGGCAGTCGCCACTTCTCGAAATCTTACTTCTGAGGAAGCTGAAATTCTTAAACTCGATTCAGAACGTTCAGTTGTAGATACTATGGCACTTAAGCATTTTTATATATGGAATCTTTATGGTGGAAATGATATGAGTATCGAGGATTGGAATAAACTTTGCGATAAAGATTTTGTAGAACACTTTAGTCCACCTGAACCTAGAAAACATTTCTTGTATTTATCTCATTTTTACAAGCAAGATTATGATGAAGACAATGCAATAGAAAAATTAAAGGCCAAAGATCTTGCATAATGGGAAGATACATGCTATAATGCTAAAGATAATTTTGAGGATTCGGTAGCAAAAGACTTATGCAAAACATATTCAGTGAATCATTGAGAAGCTGTACAAGGACTTTTACAGTTGCTTGGTTTTACAGGTATGGACGATAAGCGCATTCTCTCTGATGATCAGGTAAAAGTTGCGTTTGAAGCATTTCGTGAAAAATTTATAGAAATTCGAAGTCAAGCTTTATTGCTCTTTGGCTTTAAGTCTCGTGCAAAAGAAATATCAGATCTTAAATCAGCTATAAAAGCAATTAATGCAATTGTTGGCAATTGGTGCGGTTATACTATAAATAGTGAACGAAAATTGATAGGACCTAAAGAAAAAAGAGTTTGGAAATATTCATATCAAATTAACCGAAAGTTATATAAAGGACGTGGTTTCAATAATCAAGAAGAAGTAATGACTAATAAGTTAAATAATCCTGAATATCGCTCTAAAGTCCCAGTTCTTCCATCATATAAGTCAAAGGTGAATGATAAGATTCAGGACTTTTTCGATTCTATACCTATTACTAACAATACTGTTTTAGAATATGCTGAGTGTGAAATTTCTAATTCATCTAGTAATGCGATTGATGAAAAAGATTTACCTTTAAAAATGCCAGCCCATATTCAATCTACTGATCTTTCCCAAGATATATATCATGTCGATACTACTATTTCCGAAGGAGACACAGTTGAGAAAAAGATATCTGAATCCTTAGACACGATATACCCGCCTCTGACAATTTCTCTATCTTCAGAATTTCTCATTAAAAATGAATTTGATATAGATATACTTATCCTTCTATTACAGCAAAAATTTCAAATATCTCAAGAAAGGTTAGAACAATGGAAAACCAAGATTGCCTTTGAATTTCGGGATAATATTAATTACTGAAAAAAAGAACGAAAAAGTATGAATGAAGTCAATTTCTTGAAATATAAACAAAATTTCGAGACTAAAATGAAGGTCCCTACTACTCCCCATAAAAAAGAATTAAAAAACCGCTCTTTAGCCCTCATTGAGTATGCATAATCTTTCAAAATAATATAATCTAGTTAAGTAGGATATCTTGAGTAGGGAGATATTACTATATCAACTAGTCGCATATTTTGGATAAGGGGTTTTTGTCGTCTCTTACAATAAGTATTTAGAAAAATTCAAATCAAAAATTAATGCCTGATACCTAGATCATATAAAGGATTTTTGTGTTGTGTGATTTTGGATAATAGGATTTAGATGACCAGACACTTATCAAAGCGGATTTTTGGATCATAGAGAGTAGTCATCGCCCGGAGCTAGTGTCAGCTGGAAGCTAGTTCACACCAAGGCGTTGTTACTAGTCGACCTTTTGGGCTAATTTTATTTTCCAAAAGGCAATTTACAACTAGCAACTCGTAAACAGTTA